AAGGGTGGATGAGCCCAGCTATTGATTGATTGATTGCTTCCAACTGAGATGATGTCTATTAACTCCATTTTATAATCAGAGCAATTCACTCACATGCTCTCCATCTTGAATTCTACTTCAAGCCTCTCTGGTCCCTATAGGGGAAAGAACGAAAAAGAAACAATGGCATTGTTAGCTCTGAGCCCAGCCCACAAAGAGTTTACCACTTGTTACCTGAGGGAACAACTGTTTTAATTGTACTCTAGCCTGAATAAATTATACTTGCTCACTGCATCAGCCCCTTTTCCCCAATGGATGCTTCTGTCTGTCAAATAGGCCAAGTGATACAACCCTCCAAGGCAAACCCTCACAGAAAACTCCACTTGAACAACTGTTCCCAGAATTAAGGGGGGAAGAGTAGCCAAGGACTGCTTTTCAGCAACTCAAAACAAAGCAGCCTATGAAATGCATTTTTGGAAAGGGAAGAAAATTATCACGATTGACACTAGCTGCATGTGTCATAGCAGTGTCATAAAACTGTACAGTTTTCCTAATTACTGCCCTCTAATTAAGTAAGGAAGGGTTGTAACTCATTTTTTTTTTTTTGCATGCAAAAGTGAAGATAACACTAGATGGACCAATGGTCTGACTCTGTATAAGGCGGCTTCCTATGTGCCTAGATTAAGCTATCAATTCAGATTAATCTCCCTCACTTCAGGCCACCCAGAAAATGAATCAGGTAAATTAAAACGAACGGAAGGATAAAGATGATGCAATTTCAGCTGTCTTCCTAATTAATATTATTCATACGTTGCACTATTTTTTTTTACTATTGTGTAACTGGCTCTTTTGGTGATAAAGGCCCCAAATACATAAATAAAGGATATATTGTGTCAATTCTCACCTGACGGTTCAAAAGTAAGTCTTCACAAATAGTTTCCCCAGGTCTTACTTTAGCAATATCGTAGGCAACCATGAAGATGAGATCATCTTTGGTGACCACATCTTCATCGTAGAGCTTCAGTTCCAGCACATTCTGAGCACAAATAGGAAAGTCATGAGAGAAAACATATACAGTAACTCCATTTCACAGCATGCTGTTGAGGATAGGGCGGACTTTCTGATTGTATGTTATTTTAAGGAGTGGCCATTTCTTCCAGAACATGCCAGTCCCACAGAACGTAACGGATATCTCTTAAGCCAGAAAGCACATCTCCAGAATGTCCTCTGCTTTTGAAATTCTGCCCTTGAAACCTTAAATGTGTGAGGCCTCAGCACTGAATGCTTGCACTTCCTCTCTGCTTTCCATTTACCACACACTTCAAATTCACAGAAACCAATCACCAAGAGTATTCTAGCTGCCTACCTTGACCTCAGTTTGGATAAAGAAATGGAAGCTTTCGTTCCAAACAGGATTACCGGTGTTTGAGATGATTTTCGTCATCATTTGTTTATTTGAAGCTGATGGCAGCCGAAGGCTCACGTAACAATCAGAAGAAGTCCCTAGAGCAAAACAAAACCGCATCAATAATCATTAATTGGTGCTTTATTATCATTAGGTAATAATAAGGTTTTGTAGGCTTTTCTGCAGAGGGGAAAATACAGGTTTCCCAGTCTTCCATCCCACACTTTGAAGAACCTTCAAAAAACAACATACGTACTGAAAGAGATGCAGGACAGTGTACATTCTTGTTATAGAGGTTCTGGACTCCCAAAAAAACCTCAAGATAAATGCAATGCAATGGATTTAACAACTCACTCACATAGGTCTCTTGAAGGTACGTGTCGAGCCTGGATGACCTTCACAGAGAGCAGGTAGAATGGAAAGGTTTCAACCTTTACAGAAAACAAATGTTGCTGAATTAATTGTGCAACTTGGGTACTTACATCAAAAAACAAAACATTAGTCATTTCAATAGAAGGATATATTGACCATTCCCCCTAGTTAAAAATAAAGATATCTGAAATTCCTATCATTGTACCTATGCTGATTTCTCTCTCTCTTTTTTTTTTACTTCCCTATGTACAGAAAAAAATATAGAACTATGACTGAGGTTTCCTTACACTGGCCCGGAAACATTACTATTGTAAAAATATTTGGATACTCCCCCACCATCACACACAAAAAGCTGTGATTATTAAAATCACCTATAAAAATATTTAATTACACACTTCTCTCTCATAGCTTCCATTTCCATCTTCCTTTGTTGTTTCAATATTAGCTGCTATTGACCATGTTCCTTAATTGAGAATTCTCTTCAAAAGCACTTAATTTAGGTAGCATTGAGTTCTTTAAGTCACACCGATTCCTTCCATCAGTGGCTTCCTTGTGTTGGTCACTAAGTATATAGTATGTCTTTTGTTATATTCTCCATTGAAATATTAATTTCAGAACAAGCACCCATATGACCCATAACAAATACCACATTTCTGTCATGCTACTACACCTGGTCACTTTCTCGTCACTGATTTCAAATTCTTCATCCGTTCTTATTCTTTTGATTTTCTCGAAGGAGCGCCCAGCTCAAGGTTTATCAGATGACATGTGATCCATTTTCAAATGATTTGTAGGTACCTGAACGTGTTTCTGCAAGTTTGCTCATGCTCTGAAGACATAATCTACATGACTCAGTATAGTATTGTGACCAAAGGCAGCAACGGGACAGCGTCTATGAGGCTGAACTGATTTGTAGCTTCCATCATTCCATTGGTTTGGCCTTTATGAAGAGCATTGGTAAGAAGATTGCCGTCCATATGGCCTTGCTGTTCTACATTTCACTAAATTTGGACTTTCGATCATGAGAAATATTTTGTGACTTCATTAATACTGGGTAGTGTTTGATGGCATTTAGATCAACAATTATATATTCCAATATCACTCTCTTGAGAATATATTTAAATTAATTCATCTCTTCTAAAGTCAGGTGCCCTTACTTGTTTCTGAATCTTCTTTTTCTTCAGTTTTTTATTTATACATTTCATTAGTTTTACAATCCATTTAAAATTTCAAAACTTGACTTCCTTCCCCCTCTTTCTGTGGTTCCTTAAATGTATTCTTAATATCTTCTGCATATCCAAATTCATTTAACTTTCTCATTTAATTATCTACTGTAAATATATACTCTTATAAAACTGCAGGTTATTACAATAATCCTGCTAATGCTTTTATCTATTTACAATTTAGGTGTAAATATTCAATAAACCATTTCCATTCCTTTATAAAAAGTTTGTTATCTTGATTTCTTATTCTTCCGGTAAGTTTCACCATTTCTGCATTTTCCATAAGTTTTTGTGTCCATTCTTCATTTGCTGGGACTTCTGCTTCTTTCCATTTTGAGGCAAGTAACATTCTTGCTAGGGACGCGGGTGGCGGGTGGTAAAAGCCTCAGTGCCTAGGGCTTGCTGATCGAAAGGTCGGCGGTTCGAATCCCCGCAGCGGGGTGTGCTCCCGTTGTTCGGTCCCAGCGCCTGCCAACCTAGCAGTTCGAAAGCTTTCCGGGTGCAAGTAGATAAATAGGGACCGCTTACTAGTGGGAAGGTAAACGGCGTTTCCGTGTGCGGCTCTGGCTCGCCAGAGCAGCGATGTCACGCTGGCCACGTGACCCGGAAGTGTCTCCGGACAGCGCTGGCCCCTGGCCTCTTGAGTGAGATGGGCGCACAACCCTAGAGTCTGTCAAGACTGGCCCGTACAGGCAGGGGTTCCTTTACCTTAACATTCTTGCTGCTGTAGTAGCATACGTAAATAAATTTCTATACAATTTAGGTAGTTCTGTCCCTATAATTCCCAAAAGAAAAGCTTCTGGGGTTTTTTTTTGGAGGGGGGGGTTATACACACACCCCTCAATCTGCTACACTAAAAATCTTCCATGGCCACTTACGTATTGTGGAAATTCAGCTTGTCAAGTATTGTGTTTCCTCTGCAGTAAGGAAAATCATGTCCAGCACTAGTAAAGAGTTAAAATATTTGATTAATCTTACCTTAGGCATTAGAATGTCCATTGCATAGATGAGATGCAGTAGCGATGGGCAGGAATCCAAGTATTCTGCTGTGTTAGGTACCCTCCTAACTTCCTTCTTTTTTTGATTAAAGAAAATGACTGGTGCCAAAGAGCTAGTGAGATATTATATACACATCCCAAGCTCCACCTTATTTGTGACTATTCAGAGTAAGAAATGCCAATCTTTTTCTCACATCTTTTTTTTTTGAATGGGTACTCATTTCCCTTAAATACACCCAAGATACATGTATTGACATTAAGGTGTGGTTGACACAAGCAGAGTCCTATGCTGGGAGAGTAGACTGTACCACCACAGTTCTTCAATCTTTTCCCACAAAAGTCTTTATGAATATACAAAATGTAGCACACTATGGAGAAAAATCCATTCTCTGCTTTGCTAGTTTTATACTTGAACAGATTTTAAACACACACACACCCTGTGAACATCCAGCAATTTAACAACTCACTCCTACTGTGTGTTTGGGGCAAGCCTAGATTTTAGCTTAAAATACATGAGAGAACATCAGTTTGCAAGCGGAAGTGTTTTTAGTTCATTCACTTAAGGGAAAGAGCAAATGGCATAAACTGGCCATTTCATACATTGCCACTTCCTTGAACGGCCAAGGTGATGATCAGTTCAAAACTTTGAGTGGAATGAATGGCCCAGATCTGGTTAAAATCCATAGCAGGGTCCTCTAAGGATGTTGTACTCATGTCAAAAGCAGGTGCTATGTCAGCTTTTGACATATAAAATGTGTGAGTTTAAAGAGAATAAGAATAATGCACTTTAATACTCCTACATATAACTGGAACAGGAAGGGGGTGTTAGTTTAATAACTGATCCTGATGGTTTTGTTTTAAGCAAGCAAACTTCTTGGCGGAACTCAGTTTCAAGTTAATGTTTAATCTGCAATTTCCCATACGCTTCGGAGGAATCAGAAAAGAAGGGTTAAACATTTATACAGTGTTAAAAACATTCACAGGGGTAATGCATGCTATATATATAAAAAAGCTCTCTGAACATAGTTTTAGATTCTTTATTTATACTCTCTCATTATACACACACCCCAACTCTAGGGGATTTACAAAAATCTTTCAGAAGCAGCAATATCACATTAAACTTCACAAAATCCCTGTGGAGACAGCTCTTTCCACTTTTAATTACATATAAAGAAACGTTATCATTACAAATTGCTTAATGAATAGAGCTATACAAAGCAAAGGAAGAACAGTGACATAATTCAAGAGTGCGGCAATTTTCACGCACTACATATAAATGGATTGGTAAATGTGGATGGTAAACATGATTATACTTTCTCTGCCAAAAAAATCAAAGTACAGGCTAAACCAGAAGTGGAGAACCTGGCTGTGGTCGCCAGGTATTACAATCCTGCTCCCATTACCCCTGGCTGAAGTTCAGCAACATCTGGAGGAGTGCAGGTTCTTGGACTCCTCCTCCAAGACTTACATCTGAGTTGACATGCATAGGATTTCACTTAAAGTTAAGAGGAATATTATTCTCCAGATGTAGCAGTGGCTAAAACAGGGTGCCATAAAGTCCATAATCCCAAACCAGCCATTACACCACACTAGCCTTCTGTTAGTTTTATAAATAGTCTCGGCAGTGTAGTTACTCTTTATTTATTTCTAAAACAAACGACTACACTGAAACAAGAGGAAATCAGGTTTATTGTTGGTAATTTGTACCATAGTTTGATGACTTCTCCGTTTATCGGTGTTGTTCACTTTTCCCCTAAAATGATTTTCTAGATTTGCTACTGTTTTGTATTCCTAGACTCCAATCGAATACATACTTATCTGGGAATACATCTAATAGAACTCTATAGGGCTTACTTCTGAGAAGACAGGTATCAGATTGAACTATTAACGTGCCCTACCAAATGCCATCCTCTGCACCATTTATTCTATTGACTTTTTTATTGTCATATCAGGAAAATTTTCTCATCGAGCCTCAGCCAGCAATAATGCATTGCATTATCACCACTCCCTTTCGCTGAACAGATCTCTCTGTCAAGCCATTCTCTTACCAGGTACCAACAAGGTGTATGGATGCTACATGCATATTAATGTACTGATTAATTAATTAAGGTTGATCTGAAATATAATAAATGTATTAAGATGTAAGGAACAGGTGTGTAAATTTAACAGGCTTTCTCAAAATTTTGCTAAGTGGTAGGGTTCACAAGAAGGTCTGGCTTGATATGAGTAAAGAGATTGATTTCTTTCAAAGACCTTTTCATGAGACAGGAGGAAATGAAGTGGCCAGGTGAATGGAGGATACACCCCTGCAGGTGTGCTAGGTATGACCTTTCTCTGCCACATGACCAGGGCACTAGTGCGCTGGTAAACTTGTCATGCCTTTGTTTGGCTGCAAAATGACAAGTTATTTCAAATCTGAGTTCTAAGATGAAGCTGAATAGATCACACTCATTACACTTACATCCTGACAAAGTGCTCATAGTATCGCTACGTGGTAATGAAGAAAAAAGCACTCCCCCTGCTCTTAAGAGAATCGGAAACTGAAAGGGGCTTATAACTGCCACAGTCAGTTTCTGGAAGAGCCATTGAGGGAAATGTGCTTTCACCAATTCCCTTGGCTGAGGTGTGTTGCGCATTACTAGCGTACCTGGTCATGGCTGAACAGGTAGGCGTCGCACCTGTTCTTGACATCTCAAGTGGGATGTGCACATTAAGAACCAGCTCCTTCACACATGTACAAAACCACAGTCTACAGATTACTTTTAACGGTGGAATCCAGCAGGTGTTGTCTGAAAAAAGCCAGTATCCTTTGCCAGGCATCTTCCTGTGCTTTTGCATGTTCTCTCCATTTTCCTCCCCAGACCACGAGAAATCCCAGTGGCCTGTGAAATGAGGAATAGCACAGAGGCAGATAGGGGGGCTCTAAGAGGTGCCCTGCCCCGGGGTAGCAATAGAACTCCACACGGCGCCCACTCCGCCTGAGGTGTCCAACGGCTTCTTGACAAAACGACTCACTTGGCCAGTTTCTGTCATCCTGCCCTGACAGAAAAAGGAAGTTGGCTAAGGATGTCTCCACAGGGATGCGGCAGTGCCAGGTAGCTGGGTCTTTGGGATCGGCCATGATTTCTGAGAAATCCACAACTCCGGGATCACCAGTGTGCTTAATCTTGTTTGGGTCCCATGGAAAGGGAGGAATAGTGAGCCCCTTCACTCGCAGGGGGGTAAAAACATTAACACCTGAGCCAGAAATGCTGACTGCTGCTCTGATACCTGGCCAAAACGTAGCTAGAGCAAGGGCAAGATCTGCTCCTTTGGAAAGTCCTAGGACTCCAATCGCTGTAGCTCTCACCTGAAACAACAGTTGGATAAGGACTTCCGTCAGCTCCATGTTTGTCAGTTTTATCGCCCTTTTAAAAAGCCTACTGGTTAGAACGATTTAGCGCTACGCGGTAATGAAGAAAAAAGCACTCCCCCTGGTCTTAAGAGAATTGGAAACTGAAAGGGGCATATAACTGCAGGCATCTACTGAAGACAGTATATTAAGTGTTGAAATAAATAAGTATGTCGTACGAATTAAAACTTGTGAGAATTGTGCTTGAGCTGGATTTTACCTCTTCCCTCCTGCTCCCTTTTCCTCATGTGTCTCGTCTTTTTAAATGGTGAACTTGAGGGCATGGAGCCCTCTTAGTACTTGATCTCTTTTAAGCCTCTCTGGGAGCCTTTTGGCATAAATGCATTAAATTAAATAAAACGGGCAGCACACAACACCAAAGAACTGTGATTCTAGCAAGCCTCTTACCTGCTGCTGTTTCCGCAAGAACTCTACAGCCTCACCAAAATAGTCCACTTCAAAGAACTCTGGGAAAGTTGGCAAATCCTCAAAGTGCATGTAAGCAACAGCCAGTGTAGCAAAACCTCGGCTTGCCAGAAGACTGGCTCTGTATTCCACAAGACCTCCTCCACTTCCATACAAATCAATGAGTCCTGGGAACGGTCCAGGGCCTAGAAAAGGAATTTACTCATAAAAAATGGGCTTATGATCAGAGTATGGTATTGTGTAACTCAAGAATCCCCTCTTCCCAAGGGATCTGCTCTCCTCGCTGTCCCACTGCCATTATTAGTGTCACTGGTGGGAGCAATTATTCTTGCCATAACTTGTTTTTAGTGGAGGCTTTTAGACTGCTGCTGTTGACAGCGATGCAGTTTTCATGGTGATGTGTTTATGGCACTATTGGTGTGTTCAGCTCTATTTTATTTTTCTGCTGTGAGTTCTTCTTTATAAGCTGCCTTGAACTTATCATAGAGCAGTGGGCTACAAATGCCCAAATAAAATTTAATAAATCTATTGGGTAGAGCAGAGATTAGGAACCTGTGGAACTTGGCAGTCTCCCTCCCCACCATCCTCACAACATCTGGGGAAGAAGTCCAAAGCCTCAAGATAGGGTGGCACAGTGGGTTAATGCATCTGACTGTTAACCAGAAGGTTGTTGGTTCGAGCCAACCCAGAGGTGGCTGTGGGCAGGATTAGTGCATGACCCTTGGGATCCAACTCAACCATCCTATGAACTCCCGAAGCTGGTCGAGGCTCTCTCCGTCGATTATGTATGGGCAGGAAGGGAAGTGCCCGCGCTTCCGAGGTGAGCCATTCAATGCTCATCCGAGGAGCGTGGCAACCTCGTGACCCTGGGGGGGGGGGGGGAATGAATGAAGCTCACCGGGTGGCACGAAGAGCGTGGCTCGGAGCCTGCCTTCTCGCACCGGGATCCTCTCCACCCCGTCGGCCAGAAAGCTCCTCTCGCTGCAGCACTCGCCGAGGAGCCGCCCGGAGACTCCGCGCCCGTCCAGCACCTCGTAGGTGACGCGGAAAGGGCTGAGGACGTCCCTCTTGGCCAGGCGCTTGAAGGGCGTCTGGGATGCCAGCGACCACAGCAACCCCATGGGCTCCACGCCGGAGTAGCTGCCGCCCAGCGACGCCGAGCGGCTGAGGTCCAGCTCGCCGCAGCTGCCCGCCCGGTAGTAGGCGAGCGACTGGAAAAGCTCGCCGCTCTCGTCCACCAAGGATGCTCGCAGCGTCACCTCCTGCAGCGGCCCCAGGCCCTCGACTTTCACTTGGACCGGCTCGTCCCACAGGCAGCGGGGAGACGGCAAGACCAGGATCCTCGCCGCCGCCATCGGGTCTGCCTTGCCGGAGGGAGCAGCCTCTTCCCCAACGGGCCGGCAGTTGTTCTTCGAGCAATGCTTTTAGAAAAAGGAAAAACACGCGCGCCCGGTAACTTTTGCTCCCAGGCTAAAGTCAAGCGGGTCTTTGCAAGCTGCCCACAAAAGGAAGCGGTGTCGCTAGGGCTTCTGGGAAATGTATTTCCCAACTCGCTGGCGGGGACACACTTTGAGAGGGAGCTGCCCGTCTCCTGAGAACCGATACTGCCTGCCAGCTCCATGTGAAAGAAAACGAGTTTGGGCAGGGGATTAGCCCTTGTTTGCTCGTGAGGTGCTTGAACCTGCTTGCCCTTACGAACTGTAACGTAATAATTGGTCTTCTTGACTTCGATCGACACAATAGTGAGCTCTGCAGCTGTCAGGTAAAGATAAAGGGACCCCTGACCATGAGGTCCAGTCGTGGTCGACTCGGGTTGCGGCGCTCATCTCGCTTTATTGGCCGAGGGAGCCGGTGTACAGCTTCCAAGTCATGTGGCCAGCATGACTAAGCCACTTCTGGCGAACCAGAGCAGCACACGGAAACGCCGTTTACCTTCCCGCCGGAGCAGTACCTATTTATCTACTTGCACTTTGACGTGCTTTCGAACTGCTAGGTTGGCAGGAGCAGGGACTGAGCAACGGGAGCTCACCCCATTGTGGGGATTCGAACCACCGACCTTCTGATCGGCAAGTCCTAGGCTCAGAATTTAACCCACAGAATTTGGTCAAATAGGCGATTCCTTAGCCCAAAGCTTTATATGCCTTGTTGATTAAAGCTAAGGTTTGCTTTTCACATCCTTCGCTCACTTCAAGTTACCAGGACTAAACATCAGGAAGAATTTCCTGGTGGTAAGAGCTATTCAACCGTGGAGCAGACTTCAGAAGGTGGTGGACCCTCCTTCCTTGGAGGTTTTTAAGCAGAGGTTGGATGGCCATCTGTCATGGATGCTTGAGTTAAGATTCCTGCATTGCAGGGGGTTGGACTAGATGACCCTCAGGGTCCCTTCCAGCTGCATTCTATTTTAGTTGAAGCTTTCAAACAGTTGTAAAGGACAGTTTTACACTGAAAACATGGCAGTCATCAATCCATGAGGTTACCAGTATTTATTTCCGGGAAAGAGTATAGCCAACAGAATCTTGGTTATGTAAGTGATGAGATGATAAAAGCACTCCTGGTGGCTGCTGCAAACACTTGTGACCACAGGAGTTGACCACATCCTTAACAGGGGGGAAAAGGCCCTTATTCAATAGCAGCCTGCTATCATAATTTCGCTCTTGTATTGATTCAACACCTCATCTGTCTCCTGAGAAATCTCTATGTGGGACAAGAAGCTACAGTTAGAACTGGATATGGAACAACTGATTGGTTCAAAATTGGGAAAGGAGTACGACAAGGCTGTATTTTGTCTCCCTGCTTATTTAATTTATATGCAGAATACATCATGCGAAAAGCTGGGCTGGATGAATCCCAAACTGGAATTAAGATTGCCGGAAGAAATATCAACAACCTCAGATATGCAGATGACACAACCTTGATGGCAGAAAGTGAGGAGGAATTAAAGAACCTTTTAATGAGGGTGAAAGAGGAGAGCGCAAAATATGGTCTGAAGCTCAACATCAAAAAAACGAAGATCATGGCCACTGGGCCCATCACCTCCTGGCAAATAGAAGGGGAAGAAATGGAGGCAGTGAGAGATTTTGATCACTGCAGATGGTGACAGCAGCCACGAAATTAAAAGACGCCTGCTTCTTGGGAGAAGGGCAATGACAGGCCTAGACAGCATCTTGAGAAGTAGAGACGTCACCTTGCCAACAAAGGTCCGTATAGTTAAAGCCATGGTTTTCCCAGTAGTGATGTATGGAAGTGAGAGCTGGACCATAAAGAAGGCTGATCGCCGAAGAATTGATGCTTTTGAATTATGGTGCTGGAGAAGACTCTTGAGAGTCCCATGGACTGCAAGAAGATCAAACGCATCCATTCTTAAGGAAATCAGCCCTGAGTGCTCACTGGAAGGACAGATCGTGAAGCTGAGGCTCCAGTACTTTGGCCACCTCATGAGAAGAGAAGACTCCCTGGAGAAGACACTGATGCTGGGAAAGATGGAGGGCACAAGGAGAAGGGGGCGACAGAGGACGAGATGGTTGGATAGTGTTTTCGAGGTTACCAGCATGAGTTTGACCAAACTGCGGGAGGTAGTGGAGGACAGAGGTGCCTGGCGTGCTCTGGTCCATGGGGTCACGAAGAGTCGGACACGACTAAACGACTAAACGACTAAACAACAACAACAACTTCAACTTGATTCAACTTCAGGTTATTAATCCCCATCCAGCCCACTAATAATAATAATGATTTTATTTGTACCCTGCCCATACAGCATATACTGAAACATAATAAAACATCAAAAACTTCCCTATACAGGGCTGCCTTCAGATGTCTTCTAAAGGTTGTATAGTTACTTTTCTGCTTGACCATCTGATGGGAGGGTGTTCCATAGGGTAGGCGCCACTACCAAGAAGGCCCTCTGCCTGGTTCCCTGTAATATTCCTCCAGAATATTCATACAGATGATCTAATGTACTGAGGACAAATTAGGGGCCTGTCAATCTCCAGAAATGGACTTTCCACCAGAGGAACTACATCATCGTGAAGCCTGACTGAAACAGATCCAGAAAATGTGCTTCATCTGTGCAGGTGATATTCATCTCATGTGCTTGATCTCAACGGTTACTTAAGGTAAACCACCATATAAGGTGCCATTTTGTCCACAATGCCATGAACATCCACATGATGTGATGTTAAGCTTCAGTGACAGCAAAACAATTGTCAGCAGCAAAACAGTTGCCTTTTGTCTTGATTTAATAGGCCATAATTAAATAGTTCACATTCCAGCCGTAGTTCCACATCAGTAGGTTAGCTGATCCAAGACCCTAAGATTTCCGTGCTATAGCTTTTGTGAGAGAATCCAGCAGCTGATAATAAGAGTATTTTAGATCATATTCCATGTCATACCAATAATTCACTGAGGGGGAGAAAAAAGAAAATGACATAACTTATCATCTGTCTTTGGAAAAACTCATTTTGATAGTTTTCAGCTCAACACAAAAGCTACAAATCTTTCCATTATTTTCTTATTGAGATTGCACCAATCTCAATAAGAAATAGAACTTCAGACCTGATGAATACATTACACAGTGGCAATATGATAGCCATTGGAAAATGAAACAATTCAGCCAATTTTAACTATGTTATTGTGACCAGCTGAAAAACGGGAATTTTTCTGGCATGGCTGAAATCACTTCAATGGCTACTGCACTGCTAGTACAGTGGTACCTCAGGTTACATACGCTTCAGGTTACAGATGCTTCAGGTTACAGACTCCGCTAACCCAGAAATAGTACCTCGGGTTAAGAACTTTGCTTCAGGATGAGAACAGAAATTGTTCTCCGGCGGTGCAGCAGCAGCAGGAGGCCCCATTAGATAAGGGGGTGCTTCAGCTTAAGAACAGTTTCAGGTTAAGAACGGACCTCCGGAACGAATTAAGTACTTAACCCGAGGTACCACTGTATAACATAGAAATTTATCCTCATAAAGGGTGTTATTCAGGATTAGTCCTACTCACAGTAGGCCCATTGAAGTTAATGGACATGACTTAGGTTTATTCATTTCAGTAGGTCTACAGAATACAACCGAGAAGATTTTAAGACATCCAAGGGGCTTGGTAGTAGACATGGATTCAAATCACTGAGCAGCTATGCTGTTGCTGGGTGGCCTTGGGCTATTATTTTAGCCTCAGTTTACCATCTGATGACCTTCCACATTGGTGTTCAATTGCATTCCTGGTTGTCCTGGAGCCAAGGTGGAGTGTTGGCTACCTCAAATGAACTGAGTATATGCCCTACAATGTATCCTGAAATCTTCTGTAAATGTGCAGGAGTTGTTAATAAGCAGATTAATGTGTAAAAATCTGCAAAGGATAGGACATTTTAAAAGCCTCTGACCTAACATGTCAGGTTTATATAACAGACACTTTAAATGCTTTTGTATTTAAAACCCCTTTATAGTAATAAATGAATAAGTAATCCACTTTATTCTCATGTATTTTAATTTTGTTTAGTAGTCCTGGTCTATTAATTAGTGACAGTTACCTTCAGTTGATCAGGGTAAGACAGAACACATTTAACAGTCACTTTGATTTCATTTATTCAGTATCCTAAAAAATATACCTATGGAGGTTTTGGTGAACTGCAAATTTATGTAATGGCTCTGTTAATAAATTAAAAAGCAGGATAATAATCTTTTTTTCCCCTACATCAACAACTGGCCCTATTAGTACAATTAATTATTGCCGGGATGCTCTTCTCAGCTCAACACCACAAGGTGGTGCTGATGCTTTTTATAGTAACAATTTTGGACATTTTGTAAGGAAACAGAAAGTAAAACAAAGGCACATATTTGATCCACAGTACAGAATCTGCACAAGCCCCATTTGAAATGAATATGCCCTTGTGCAACTTCTACCTGAGTTCACACAAAAGTTGTTGAATTGTGGCCCATGTTGATTAGTAAAAAGAAAAAGGAGGGAGAGATTTGAATTTTCCAACTGAGGTCCCAAATTATCTTGACACTCTTTAAGCTTCATCTAATCAAACACTACAGCTCGGGTCCCGATTTGCCGTTCCACAAATGCAAAGACTCATTCCATTTGCAGAACAGTCTTTGATCCAGATGGAGGTCTTTCTGATGGGAGGCAATTTTGGCTGACTCTCCTTTCCCTTTGTACCTTCCTGCATCATCTCCCGCTCAACACCTCCCCCACCCTTCCACTAGCAGAAGTGTCCTCTAAGCAGAATTTTGCTCACAAGATCTCCAGATCCAAGCCTATATGTAAAGATAGCTAATTCTGGCTGGAAATGGGATAAATAAATCCAACTGATAGTAGACTGAGGGAACCACAAAACCTATCTTGAAGAAGAAACATGACATGTGAAATTTGGTGTGCTTGTGCATGCCACACTCCTCTCACCTGCTATGCAGCCATGTGACTGCTGAACATGATGGAACCAGAGAGAAGGAAGATACAACATCTCTCCAGACTTCACAGTGCAC